TCTGAGGTAGGTTATTACTATTTGCAAAGGTCTGGGAAAATGAAACGTGTTAGGTACATGTTTAATTAGTATTTCCCCAACTTGGTTTGAGTACCACTTCCCAGGGGGCAAGATATTAGAGCAAGATAGTGGGTTACAGTTGCCTCTGTGAGCACCCCCCAGTATCCAAGCATGGTGCTGCCACTCTCTTCAGCACCCAGTAAGCCCTGCAGCCTACCTCAGCAGATCTACTGTGGCTGAGCCCTCTAGCTAGGTTACACTATCCAAACCCCTACCAGGGTACAACAACTCAATCAGAAGAAGTTCCTTGCCCTTCCAAGCCAATTATAAATAAATGGTTTGTTACTCTTCTGGGGCTTAATCCCTTCTCTAGAATTGAATCAGCATTGTCACTACTGAACTCCTGCCACCCATTGTGGCAGCAAAGGACCATAGCCCAGCCTGGTTCCTTTGGCTATAGCCGAAAGAACACTCACTCCACCAATTACCGCCAGGAACTGCTTTGCTTGCAGCAAGTAGCTCCTTTTATTTTGGCCTGTTGGACCTTGATTGTCTGTTGCTTATCCTCAGCCCTTCTAGCTGCTGGAGGACCAGATCTCAATGGTTCCTAAAATGCCCTGGGATGCTTCTCTAGGGAGGCCTAATACTCACTTCTCCATTCAAATTAACAGAAATAGTATCTAGAAGGAATTCCATCCAACTTTCAGTCAGAGGGAGGATCATTATGATGCATGGGCTTTAGGATGGGATATTCAAAGGTTTACAGAATGAGGAAAGATAAGGGAGATCCCTCAACACCGAGGGTGGGGGAAAAGAAAATGAAGGTGGAGAAATGTTGAAACGAGGGATGCTGAAAAAAATGGGACAAATGCAAGATGTTGCAGCACTTGCAAGAAACTAGGTGGGGAAGGCCTAGATTTAGAGAGTGGGTACCTAAAAATAGGCTCCTAAATCCTTACTAAGATGCCTAAATAAGTATCCCAATTTTCAAAAGTTCTGAGCACCCCTCAGAGGATGTTGTTGGGAGGAAGAGGCATAAAGCTGTACAATAATTTAGTATGGATAAAAGTTTTGCTACAGTATGGACTGCAAGATTGGTATAAATAAATGTTTATTTATTATTTTTATTTTACAAATTATATGCAGTGTCATGTAATACTTGGCTACAAGAACATTTTTAACAAAGTATTTAGCATCAGATTATTAAAATAAAGTGGACTTCTTAGATCCCCCCATCCATCCTTACTCTAAGCCATCCTTACACATGCAGGTGAAAGGGATTTTTATCCTTACTCTATGTAGAGATCAGGACTACCTGAGTTTTGGGTATTGAAGGCCTGGCCCACACACTGTTTTTGTATCAGCACAACTATTTCAGTTAGGTGTATGATTTTTTTTTTTAAATCAGAATAGTTATATCAGTACAACCCCAGATGTGGATACAGTGATAATTGCATAAAGGTGCCTTATTGTTTAGTTTATTTCCCTTCCCATATGGGAATAACTATAATGGTATAAACACTTTTATAACAGTATCTATACTGCTGGGTTGTGTCACTTTAACTCTACCAGTACAACTTTTGCACAGACAAACTCTTAGGGTTGTAAGATACCAAAAATGACGCACAGGGGTAGCTGAATCAGTGGAGGTATTCATCGAGGGGAGAGGACAAGAAGATCAACTCCCAGAAGCCTTGGCCCCTCAGCTAACGAGCTGACCACAAACAAATGTTTTCATGTTTTGAAACATTATCTATCCTCTATAAAAGGTGCGAAGTTATGTTTAAAATGGTGCTGGTTATTTACTAACATATTTTAAAGCATGACCATTTTTCCTAGTATAGATATGCCCATTGTCTTTGCTTGCAGTGCCCTCAGTGACATATATGACAGGGTGGATGAGCAAAGCATTAAATGGATTGGAACGCATGCGCACACCTACAACCACACACACGCCCCTGTCTCTCTTACCTCAATGTGCGGAGGGGGAGAGAAAGGGAGGATAAGGGACTATGTGACCTCTCAAGGGTCTTTCCAGCCCTCTACTTCTGTGATTCCATAATTAATTAAAATTGATAAATCAAGGAAAAGGAAACCTCTTACCCTGTCAGACTGTCTGAATTTTAAGTGCATAAAGATTGAAAAATCACAGTAAAGCATCTGAGTATTTGTTTTAAAGATATTTAGGGGTTGTAATAATTAAATCTAAGATCAAAATCTTCAAGGCCTGTCCAAGTTAAGAACACACAGAACCTTCCCTGCTTCTAAAAAGATGTTGCTTGTTAGCAAAGTTTTTTTTTACTAACAATGGCTTACTCCCTCAAAGCAAATTAGTTAAGTAGCACACTTCCCCATGCACAAATAAATAAATAGTAAAAATTGTTAAACAACTATTTATTTTAATTTAAACTAATCCTTTAGGTACTTAAACCCAAAAGCCAGCAGTTTCTCTGAAGTATCCACTGGTCCACCCACTCCCCTAATAATAGAATATCGGAAAAGCACTGCTCATTAAAACTAGAAAGGAAGTGTGGACAGAGGTACCATTGTATAGAGAGAAACCAAACTATTAAGATAATTAAAATTAATATATGGATGTATAGGATACTGGCAAGTAGAGATGGAAAAGTGCTAATAGGTCACTGAGTGTTAAAGTACAGAATGTCTTTTATGATACTTAATATAAGAGCACATTTTGAATTCCTGTAGTTTTTTTTGCATTGAAGAAGCATTATGTAGAAAAAGGAGTTAAATTCTGGTAGTACAGGACTAGAGGTAGGAAAACTGCATTCTCAGTTCTGTCACTGATTTGCTGTGTAAGCTTGTCAAGTCACTTAACCACTCAGTGCCACAGTTTCCTCATCTGTAATATGTGGATAATTAAGCTTACGTACTTCATGTCAGGATTGTTTTTATGGAGGGTGTGGGTTAGGTTTAATTAATGTGCTTTGAGATCAGGTGAAAGTCACTATAGAAGTACATAGCATTATTGTTATATGTGTGCAATAGGGCTGTCAAGCGATTAAAAAAATTAATCGCGATTAATTGTGCGATTAAAAAAACTAATCATGATTCATTGTGCAGTTAAACAATAATAGAATACCATTTTTGGATGTTTTCTATGTTTTCAAATGTATTGATTTCAATTAGAACACAGAATACAAAATGTACAGTGCTCACTTTATATTTATATTTTTTACAAATATTTGCACTGTAAAAAAACAATAGTATTTTCAATCCCTATCACAAGTGCTGTAGTGCAATCTCTTTATCATGACCGTTGAACTTACAAATGTAGAATTATGTACAAAAAAACCTGCATTCAAAAATAAAACAATATAAAACTTTAGAGCCTACAAGTCCACGCAGTCTTACTTCTTGTTCAGCCAATTGCTCAGACAAACAAGTTTGGTTACAATTTGCAGGAGATAATGCTGCCCGCATCTTATTTACAATGTCACCTGAAAGTGAGAACAGGCGCTAAAGATTCGTATGTCCCTTCATACTTCAACCACCATTCCAGAGGACATGTGTCCAATGCATGTTCATTTTCATCATCTGAGTCAGATGCTGCCAGCAGAAGGTTGATTTTCTTTTTTTTGGTGATTTGGGTTCTGTAGTTTCCGCATCAGAGTGTTGTTCTTTTAAGACATCTGGAAGCATGCTCCACACCTCATCCCTCTCAGATTTTGGAAGGCACTTAAGATTCATAAACCTTGGATCGAGTACTGTATCTATCCTTAGAAATCTCACATTGGTACCGTCTTGCGTTTTGTCAGATCTGCAGTGAAAGTGTTCTTAAAATGAACGTGTGCTGAGTCATCATCCAAGACTGCTATAACATGAAATATATGGCAGAATGCGGGTAAAACAGCAGGGGACATACAATTCTCCCCCAATGAGTTCAATCACAAATTTAATTAACGCATTATCAGCATGGAAGCATGTCCTCTGGCATGGTGGCCGAAGCAGAAAGGGGCATACAAATATTGAGCATATCTGGCACGTAAATACTTTGCAATGCTGGTTACAAAAGTGCAATGTGAACGCTCATTCTCACTTTCAGGTGACATTGTAAATAAGAAGCAGGCAGCATTATCTCCCGTAAACAAACTTTTTTTTCTTGGCGGTTGGCTGAACAAGAAGTAGGACTGAGTGGACTTGTAGGCTCTGAAGTTTTACATTGTTTTGTTTTTGAGTGCAGTTATGTAACCAAAAAAAATCTACATTTGTAAATTGCACTTTCACGATAAAGAGATTGCATTATGGTACTTGTATGAGGTGAACTGAAAAATACTATTTCTTTTGGTTATCATTTTTACAGTGCAAATATTTGTAATAAAAATAATATCAAGTGAGCACTGTATACTTTGTATTCTGTGTTGTAATTGAAGTCAATATATTTGAAAATGTAGATATACATCCAAAAATATTTAATAAATTTCAATTGGGATTCTATTGTTTAACGGTGCGATTAAAACGGCGATGAATCATGATTAATTTTTTGAGTTAATCACGTGGGTTAACTGCGATTGATTGACAGCCCTAGTGTGTAATAAATGAATATTTGGACAGCATGGCTGATATAAATGGATAGAGATGATATTTCCTAGGAATGTCACTAAGATTCAAAAGGATAGGGAAGAAAAATGTCATGCATAAAACATGATAGAATATAGTGATGATACCTAATATCACAACCTTATACAAAACATTGTGAGGCATGAAAGTAATTGGGGAAGGGAGGGGGGGAGACAATCAACATGCTCTCAGTTGGCTCAGAAGCCAGGATTTAGTAATCCCATCTGGCATAATGTGGGATGGATTTTCAGGGACCAGCCAGATAACTATTTTTGTGAATCCCAACTTGCTACTTGAAAATTTGCTGCTGTTAATTATGCTGATCAGAGGGTATTCAACATTTCAGCCACTACCACCAAGTTAAAGACTCTTTTTAATGGCTTGTGATTCTTGAGTCTTTCCTTATTATGTTTGGACAGGGGAGTAGCCAAGGCATGGAGCCAGGCTTACTTTGGAGAAGGCTCAGGACCAGTGCTGCTGGATGAAGTACGTTGTACAGGGAACGAGCTGTCCATAGAACAGTGTCCAAAGAGCTCCTGGCGAGACCACAACTGTGGCCACAAAGAAGATGCAGGAGTTTCCTGCACACCTCTTACAGGTAGTCTACTGAGCAATTAGCATATTGATGATTAATTACAAACCCAGGATTGAGAGATTTGGAAGAGTGATATTTTTAGAATGTTGGTTGCACTGAAGTCAAGCAACAGGCAGAAGTAAAATCTGTCAGCTCTGTCCTGCAGGACCAGCTGTAAGCATGTGCGAAACTTTCAACTACAGAAGGTCTTGCTGTTCAGAAAGATGCCTTTACATCTCAGTAACAAGTTGAGTAACCAATCTCCCTTCTGTGCAGAAGGGGAAAGATCCATGTACAGTGGGTTATCCATACATGCACATCAGGAGCATAATCTGGCTCATATAAATTTACAACCATATGCTGCTCTCATTTTGTAACACTTCTCCCACCAACAACAATAGATATCTCAATATGGAGTGAGGGCTGTTGTTTGGTCACCATCAAAAGGTCAGCATTTATCAACAGTCATTCTCCTGTGGTATATGAGATACTATAGTATTTTTCTATAAGTGACATCTCAGCTCCCACTGTGTGGTGGAAGTAAGTGAATGTTGACTTTTTAATGGCAGTCATTTGGAAATAAATAGAATATAGAAAGGAACGTGTAGAGCTACAGGTAAACTGTATGTGTTGACATTGCACAGTTAAAGCCCAGTCCTGCAAACTATTCATGTGAGTAAAGTTGGGAGGATCAATGATTTAAACAATTTTCCATTGCACTTGAACAATTGCTACATATAAAGCATTGCACAGCTGACAGGTACATTATGGGGTTGGTTTTTTTCCACCTTCTGTTCAAACATTATTGCCAGACATGGTAGCCGTGTGGTCTGAACCAATACTGTAAATTTTGTTTTTACTTTTCTTGGGGAATGACAAGATAACTGCATCTTAAGCAGAACTGATTCTTGCTTTTTCTTACTTGCTAATGCCACAGATGGTGCAATAAGACTAGCAGGTGGGAAAGGCAGTCATGAAGGACGTCTGGAGGTACATTACAGCGGGCAGTGGGGCACAGTCTGTGATGACGGGTGGACTGAGATGAATACACAGGTGGTTTGTCGGCAGCTTGGATTTAAGTAAGATCCTTTTATATGAGACAACTAAACACTTGGTTTAGCAGTAGTGATAAACCTTTGCAAAATACTGTCTGTACTCTGCAAACTATTAGATGTGCTGTGTTGCCTTTTTTCCCTAATAATCTCACGAGCATCAGTTTTGTATTGTGAAAAGCTTTGTATACCACACTGCAATAAGAAACAGAACACTGAACAAAAACCACAAAGTAATTTCCTAAATGATTTACGATGCTGGTTGTTCTCAGATTTGGAAGAACATTAACACAGTGCTGCTCTGAGTCAGTTTGATCTGTTTATGCTGTCAAATGAGTAGAGGAAGAAATCAAGGGGAGGACTCTCATTGCCTTCACTGGGCTTTGGTCAGGCCTTTTGGGAGAATTCTTACTGGTCATTTTCAGGATGGGATGTGAGGAAAATTCATCCTTGAGATTAAAAGAACTTCATAGTTCAGCCATAACTTGATATTACTGAAGTTATAAACCTCCACCTACAACTGATGTGTTTCATGGAGACACATTGCACTCATGGACCCCGATTCTTCTCTGCAGGATACCAGTAACTCCCATTCTCAATGTCAGTGAGAATCACTTTTACCTTGGAAGAGGAGAATTGGGCCTCTGAATTTTTGAAATATGTGCTATGTGCAAAAGAACTGAGCTGAAATCCATCAAACTCCATCCTCTCTTCCTCCAGTCTCTTTTAGACATTTGTGGCCTCTTAACAGAAAGATCAGAAACTTTTTGTCTCAGTCTGAGATTTCAGTCTGAGATGGAGAAGTCCCTAGACATGCACCAAGTTCCTTTCTATCATCCTACTTGCTGGCTGAGGCCAAACATGCACATTCTGGAAAGAGAAGCTGCTTCACCATGCTAAACCAAAAGTCTGATTCTGCCAGTCTTTTGCCCATGGAACTCCCATTAAAGTCACTTAGGCTTACCCATGGTATAGGTATTTCTGTATCTAGCTCAAAAAAATTAACAGCCATGCTCTGGAACGCAATTTTTTAAAATACATCTTTTACAAAACTCTCATTCCAATGTCATATATTTCCTCTGCATCACATTTCCTATTGTGTCAGGTTACAAATGGAATTTCTTTTACTATGTACATTGCCTTTCTCTTGTTTCATTTATTCACTGTCTGAAGTCATAATCCATTATTCATGATACAACAGAAAGGAATTCTGCTATCGAACTTCCAGGATTGTGGCATCTCCAAATAAATGTCCAAATGGCAGCTGAACTTTCTTTTGCCAGAGCTAAATTTGCCTATTTATTCTCTTTGTGCTTGAGAGCAGTTGGTTTTATCCACTCACAAAGAATAATTTCCTCTTTGGTGCTGAAGTATCATATCCCCTGTGCAGTATTGCTCATAAATTATGCATACATATTTGTTACACAGGTATGGAAAAAGTGCATCAGAAAGCTACTTAGAAGAGAGGACTAGGCCTATCTGGTTGGATGATGTCAGCTGCTCAGGAAAAGAATCAACCATTCTTCAGTGCTCAAAGAGAGAGTGGGGAAAGCATGATTGCAACCATCAGGAGGATGTCAGAATAACCTGTCACACAGATAATGACAGCCATAGATTCTCACTGGGTAAGGCATTCTTTGTAACTAATAAATGTCAGCATTCCTCTGCCTAAAGATTCAAGCAGAATGCAGCCTCTTTAAAGATGCTACAAATTTGAATCTCCACTTATTCTGCTGCCTGTACGTAGTTAAGCTGTTAATCAGTCAGAGGTAGGCATATGTGTATGTGAAGGGGGAGAGAAAGCTTTCCCTTTGAAGAGCACATGGAGCTGTTAAGGTTGCACATGGGAACATAAATATTCAGGGCATAAAGAAACAACGTTAATCTGTAATGCAGTGAATCCAGAGCCAATGAAACCTAAATCTGTGTCTGGATGGGTTTTTAGTCCTAGTGAGCCCCTCCTGATGGTATACTGAGTTGCACTTAGTACTCTGCAAGTTGTAATGAACTGAAAGAATGATAAATCATTAGTAAACCTCCCTGTGGACTTAGGTTCTTGCACCCCATCTGAAAAACAGAGATTGGAGAAATAGAGGGCATTCAGAGATAGACAGTGAAACTTATTAGAAACATGGAATTACGTCTGTATTATTAATTATCATTATCAGTCACTTGTATTACAGAAGAGCCTAGGAGACACAGTCATGGACCAGGACCCTTTTGTGCAAGGCACTGTACAAACACAGAAGTTGTTTTCTGATGTGAAATATAGTTAAGTTGCATTAAAGAGAAGAAACGTAAAATATTATGGTCAAGATTTTTAAAAATGTATGCCTAAATATAAGTGCCGAAATCCATAAGTAATCTGGCTATCAAAAATGTCACACATTGACTGTCTTGGGAACTACAGTATCATTGCTCAATACTTTTGAAAACGAGGTTACTTATTTAGTTGGCTACATATGGATGTAGGATCTTATATTTAGATACATATTTTGTAAAATTGTTGCCCATATTTTTAAAAGTTTACCCAAGTATATTGTAGTAGTTGTCGAATCTTGGATTTTCAAAGGACCCTAAGGAAGTTAGGTCTCCAGCTCCCAGTGAATTCTAAAGGGATTTGGGTGCCTAACTCCCTGAGGTTCCTTTGAAAATCCCAGCCTGAAAGTTTGCCTTGTGAAACTAAAACATGGATTTACTGCTTTAAAGTGCTATCTCAGCTTGCAATAATACAGTATTTTACTACACTTTTCCACATCTTCAGTCTTTTTCTTCTCTCTTCCTTCCTCTCTTCCCTTCAAAACCTCCTGCTCCCCAAACTCCACAAATAATTATTATTCTTGTGGTATCATACAACCAATGATTACGTATGGGTGAGACTGCTACAGTGTGTTTGCTAGAAATAAACCCTCTCATCCCCCAGATAACAGGCATTCAAATCACGGCGGCTGTCTGCACAGATACAAACTATTTACGCTGCTGCATTTGAGACACTATACAACATAATCCTAGCTGAACAAGATTCAATTCAGTTAAATATATCCATAGGGTAACATTCTCGTATCCCCCTCAGTTCACCTGAAAGTCATATTAATTCCACACATCTAGACTCATTTGCATTACCAAGATGAGGTAACAATAAAATACATATATTTTATTGCTAAAATCTTCTATCCCTATCTGGATAATATGAGTATAATTTACACTAAAATCATGTTCTGCCAGAATAGCACACTTTATTACAACAGAAGAATAAAGAGGAGACTGAGATTTGCTGTAATGTTTCTGGTTTGACTGAAGACAAAGGCTATATTGCTACTATTTGTTTCTTAACATTTGAGAAAGTATTAAATATTTCCTCTAAAAAGGAATTCAGTGGAGGAAGAGTATAAGAAAGAGTATTTTTAAATATAAACATTAAAGGGAGACAGACAATTGGTTTAAGACACAAACCAGATTTTTGTTAAAAAAAGAATGCTCTGCAGATATTAATTTGTAATTCATTTTTTATTACACTTAACAAATTTGAGTTATGAATTTAAATGTTTCCCATAGAGTGGTGAGGAACCAATAACAACAACAAAAAGGTTTTAGTATAGAAGACCCAAAAAATGTAACTGACTAGAAATTAAGAGAAACTGAGCAATAAATGTAATTGTGCAGCCTAAGTTAATTGCAAAAAGGAAATATATGGTAAACTGTGTAAATAATAAAAAAAAATTGAAGTGAAAAACATTTTTATGCTAAAAATAATTCAGTTTTAAAGCTTTTTCACTTTTAATAAGATAACTCTGGGTGAATTTAGCCCAATGACTAATGCCAAATTAACACTAGTTTTACTAAGAGCAAAATCTGGCCCATTATTTGCTCTCCCTCTTGGGTAGGCAGTAATTTTCACTGGCTTTCTAGCTAAGTTGTCTTCAATTTGTGGGAGAGTGAGGAGGAACAATAACTTGTCCAATTATTGGAAAGAACTCCAATGGAAAATATTAGGGATATATCAAGTACTACATACAAAAAGATTTAGGAGATGATTCTCATTTACACAGAGTAAAGGGGCCTCAAATTGAATTTATGCCTACTTTAAGGCCCTTGCACTACCCAAGAGTTGAAAAAGAGCATTTGTGTAAATGAGAATTATACCCTTAGGGCTTTTTATGACACAGTTTTTTTGAAACTTGCAGTCTAAATACTCAGCTAGTATAATAATATATACAATTGGCCTTTGGGTAAGAGAACATAATTAGTAAAAATCTCAGTAATTCATATCAATAACTGGGAGACTGATTGATTTTGTATTATCAAATTTTCTGAATGAGAGTAAATGAACAAACATAATTTAAAAAAGGCCAAGGAAAATCTATAACTGAATATACTTTATTCAGTTGGACAAATGTATTAGTTTTCATGATGATAATACTTCAGAGTATACTAGTCAACATGCTGGAGAGTACTTTGTATAAGTAATGCATGTGTAGTAACATGGGCTAGTACATTTGTTGCTGGGCTGTAGGGTGAGCTTGGTGGGGGTGGTTTGTATGAGTGATTGTATTTATCGGTGAGGTTTAGCTAAATCCTCCTGTAAAAGTCCTCTATGAAGAATATGGTCTGCTCAAATGGGTATCATGTGGGTGTAGTCTCATAACACAAGAATCAATCAGATTGTTCTCTACGGTTGGGGAAAGAACTGGGCTGTGTAAGTTCCAGTCAAGTTATAAGCTGTGTTACATATTTATATGTAATGGAAGAAACCGATGAACCCTACAGTTTAAAGCATAAGGAGTACAGTGGTGCTTCATGATTTGTTGTAATGTGTATAAAATGCTTCATGCTGCCTGCCATGACAAAATACATGAATACTTTAACAGATGATATCATTAAAGTAGAAATCTTGTTGAACATAAGTGTCAGTTGACCCTATCCTTGGAATGTGATGAAATGACCTAAAATAATAGTTTTTGTTTCTACTGTTGTGTAACTTATTCCTAGGTCCTCCCATCAGGCTGATGGATGGTGAGAATAAGAAAGAAGGACGTGTGGAGATTTTTATCAATGGCCAGTGGGGCACAATTTGTGATGATGGATGGTCTGATAAGGATGCAGCTGTGGTCTGTCGACAGCTTGGCTACAAGTAAGAAAAATCCTTCAACTATTCTTCAAGTTATCTGATTACCATATCTGACTGCATAAAGTTTGTGCAACTGAGTATTACCTGACTAGGTAATACTTGTCTGCTTAGTATACTTTTACTCTTCTATCCTTGAAATATACAAAAGTAAAGCCTGCTACAATTTTACTACTTCTTCATAAGGAAGCTAATATGCCTCAGAAAAAGGGTAGTAATGCCAAAGCATAATTGTCTTTACTAAGCTCAGCTAACAACTGAAGTGTAGGTTAAAAGCAGTTATTGAAAAATCTGTTTAATGAAACCAAATATTTTAAAATGACTAAGCTGCTGTTTAAATACGATATTTAACTTGTTATTTATGTGGCTATTCATATTATCTACGCACAATAGGCCAAATTCTCATTTACACTCAACTTCTGTGAGTTGCACCGATGTAACTGAGAAGAGAATTAGGCTCAACATATCTGCTCAATATTCTTTCCTGCTCTGAACTATTTTAACCTTACTTCTTTGATTGTAACTGAGCTTGGTTTCCAGTCTTCCTAAAGCACTAACGAAGTTCAAGGAAATGATTTGCCACATCCTTCAGGAATGGAAACAAGAAGAAAATTAATATTTAAAAGAATGCACTGGGGTGTAGCCTAGAGTTGAGTAGTAGAGTTAATGACCATTCATGTTAACAGAAATGATTTTCTGTATCTGTGAACCTTCGAGATTCTTTGGCTTTTTTATTTTATTTTTATTTTAATTATTGTTTCTGGGTTTTGGTGATAAATGACAATTATCTTAATTTATATAACACCTTTAATCTCGAAAGATTTTAAACTGATGCACATGGACATAATTTATCTGTCACCTGAAATGTAGCCATGTTTGGGGTGAAACAAAGGGTAATATTTAACAGATCAGTGTAACGTTACATGTTAGAAAAGGAAAGGCAGTACAGAATGTGTTTCCCAGTGAAACTACAGAAAAGAATTACTTATGGTCAAGACAATAAAACCAGCTTTGAATTTGGCCAGACTATTCGGGATAGGGTGACCAGATGTCCCGATTTTATAGGGACAGTCCCGATTTTGGGGGCTTTTTCTTATATAGGCACCTATTACCCTCCACCCCCTATCCTTATTTTTACACTTGCTATCTGGTCACCCTAATTAGGGACAATGATCTTACTCATGCAAAGAGCTCAATGTAATTGTTTATTGATCACAAGTAGTTTTTATAAACTGTGGTTTTATTAATATCTATGTGTTGTGATCTTGAATGACCTCAAATAGTTGTGAAGTCTTAAGTGGTTTTAATGACTAACTTGGTTATCTATCTAGTTCAAAAGATAGCAACTTCAGCAGCACACTGCCCAGTGCCACCAGACATGGGCATTGCTTTAGTACTGACTCAGAGGTAAGAGTGGTAGCCACTGAATCAACAGCACTGAGAGGTTTTTTGTTCATTTACTGACCTGGCCTGACCCTGCTTAGTTTGTGAGATTTGAAGGGATCATAAAAGGAGCTGGCTGCAGGGTACATGATAATAACTTGAATAAGCCTGCTGAAATAAAATAACAGAGCTAACAGGAAAAATATTTAATTAAAAAAATTGCAACTTTTCTATGCCAGTGGTGAACAAAGCCACTCAAATCAGCCTTCCACTGCTCATTAGACATTTCTTGTTGGGGCACTAGGAATCAAGGTAGGTGTGATGGCCAAGGACAGACTTATAAATAGTAGTGCTAATAAGATCTGAAAATAGTCCAGAAAAGGCTGTTTTGCTTTAAGTGGTTTTTTTTCAAATAACTTCCAAGCTAAAGAACCTTATAGATTTGTATTATTTCCTACTGAGTCATTTAGTCTGCTTCTTCCTCAGCCTCCTCAGACACGCAGACTTTTCATATTTCTGTCACAGACGCACCAAACCCACTCACTCATCCCCACATTCCATTTTTAAGCCATTTCAAAGACAGATAGTTGGATTCTCAATTTATATCCTGTCATTACAGGGGTTCAGAATAAAGGAGGATAATATAGTAGGGTACATACCAAGTGAAGGACTTGGGGCAGAGTACAAATCTTGGATATATGGGGATTCTGATAATTGGGGGAGTCAGCCAGCATACTTGGAAGTCTGCGCTGAGGGCTGTTTCCTTATTCCTTGCTTGTTCAGTAAATGGTGACAGGTACACTCCAGGAGCTTGACTTTGCTCTTATGTGCAGCCATGTTTGTGAGAACAATCAGGTCTGAGGATTTTACTGCATGTATTTGTTTGCTCTGATTCAGACTTCAGTCTGAGTGCTGATTTGAGTGTCTCATTACAAGGTTAGGATCTTCTATTTACACACCTACGTTTGAAAATTGGGCTCTCTGAGTGCTGCTTTTTAGAGACAAAAACTAGTCTTTTTCTGGAAAATGTTGGCAAAGAGCTAAATACTGAAGCTGACATCAGTTTTCATTAAAAATGACCATGGAACTAAAAGTTCATACTGAGGTATTATTTTCCACTTACATAACTGTGATTTACACTTACAGCACTGCTACTGGGAAACTTAGGGTGTCTGACTTTACTTTTTTTTTTCTGGAAAATGTGAAGCCTGTAAATCATACGTACATATTTTTGACTCAGGCCAGCAGGGGAGTGGAGATTTCCTTAAAATGCAGACTTGTACAACAGAGAGTAAAACAAATGAATTAATAGTTGTACTGTATATATTGCTCCCAGGGTTAACAAGGAACTGTGAACTGTGTATTTTACAAAATACTGCTTTGTAACATTAATAACCTTTTAATTAAGATTTGTTTCTGAAGTTGAATCTGGAAACCCAAGTTGGCAAGATGTCTAGACCCCAATTAATAGTACTCTTAAAGATCTGTTATTAAGCCAGCTTGCATACTTGTAGATTAATGTTAGTAGCAGAAAAACAATCTGAAGAACATTAGAAAGCCATCCTCCTAACAGGAAAAGCAGTTGTGAAATAAAAAAAAAAATTAATGGTGGCTAATCAAAACACACTTAAAACTGAAAGAACATGCACCTTTCGTGAAGCATTACTTAATGTCTGACAAAGACTAGCAAGTAGAGTAATTTTATGGATGGGGGGAAAAGGATAGAAGAGAGATGTTTTAGAAACTCTTATGCTTGTTGAGCAAGTTAATTGGCATGATGAAAATTCTAAGATATTTGGAGCCCTTTTCTGGAAGAACTGGGTTATGAATATACAAACATATACGAAATGAAGATAAGGGTATTTTTTCATTTTTCATTTAATTTTTTTTTTTTTTCATTTATGTACTGAAAAACAGTTTTGGTAATGTAGCAGAAACTTCCATTCAACCTTTTCCATGTAGATTTTCTATGTGGGAGGACAGGTTTTTGTCCTTGTAAGGTATTCATTAACTAGAACATCAGTATATACCACTGTGCGCCTATGCGCTTGGTGGGTCTAGTCTACCATATTGGAGTACAGATCCCTGCTTTTTATCTGTTTTTCTTTTACATACCAGCTTGATAATGAATGAGAAACAGTTTAAAATATTTAATTTTAATGTTTATTTCTAATGGTTAAGCCTACCATATATTTGATTAATGTATTGGGATCTTAATAGCAAAATGTATTTTAGCAAAAGCTTTGTAATTCACTTTCAATGCATGGTTATACTCCCAGTCTACACTATGGAACAAATTTTGGTTTCAGTTTCTCTGGATTTACACTAGTGTAATAGAGATCAGATTTTTTTTCCTTTTATATTTCTGTACTGAACCATTTTAGGTTTCTTGGGGGATGGGTGGGCTTGTACTCCTGCTGCTAGCCTGAGCCACTGCCTATACCCCACTATTTTTAGCGCACTAGCTCAAGCGGAACTAGCGTGTGTCCATCTACCCATGCCACAAAGCACCTTCCCAGACGCAGTGTAGACATACCCTAAGTGCAACAGCAATCCCGGTGTGGTGTTTTGTTGCTTTTTGTTTTAAATATAAAAGCATTAATTTTTTATCATATTTTGTTTTTTCAGCCTTCAGCTATTGCTCTCTGACTGAAGACAGAGGCTGGAGGTCACTCTACTAATGCTGTCTGGAGCACAGCAGTATGGACAATTGATAGAAAGGACAGTTTTTTAAACACTATATTCAGGTGCAAAAATGTGCGCACACACACACACACATATATATATATTTAGTATTTACATGTGCATTTTCCACAGGGGTGGGGGTGTGTGTGTAAATAAGGAAAATATATATGCAAATGGCAACTTGTAATTCAGTGTAATTTGGGTGCCTAACCCCCTTAGGCTCCTTTGAAAATCCCTGACTCACTGTCTCCAAAAGAAATCCTTAAGAGGGAGATTGAGGGGGGACAGTGTTTATTAGCTGATTCAGTATCCAAACATGGCTGTTCCTTCCCCTTCTGCTCTGCACCAGACACTATTAACTAGGTGACCTACACACCCTGCTTAAATCTGCGTAAATGATAGCAGGTTTCAGAGTAGCAGCTCTGTTAGTCTGTATCCACAAAAAGAAAAGGAGTACTTGTGGCACCTTAGAGACTAACAAATTTACTTGAGCATAAGCTTTCATGACCTACAGCTCACTTCATCGGATGCATGCAGTGGAAAATACAGTGGGGAGATTTATATACACAGAGAACATGAAACAATGGGTGTTACCATACACCCTGTAACAGGAGTGACCAGGTAAGGTGAGCTATTACCAGCAGGAGAGCGGGGAGGGGTGGGGGTGGAACCTTTTGTAGTGATAATCAAGGTGGGCCATTTCCAGCAGTTGACAAGAACGTGTGAGGAACAGTGGAGGTGGTAGGGGGAATAAACATGGGGAAATAGTTTTACTTTGTGGAATGACACATCCACTCCCAGTCTTTATTCAAGCCTAAGTTAATTGTATCCAGTTTGCAAATTAATTCCAATTCAGCAGTCTCTTGTTGGAGTCTGTTTCTGAAGATGTTTTGTTGAAGAATTGCCACTTTTAGGTCTGTAATCCAGTGACCAAAGAGATCACTCATGCTTCTCACTGGACATGCAGTTATCCCTTTGGACACATACTAATGTCCTACTTTTCAAAATGTAGCCTTAGGTTATGTCTACACTGCAGTAAAAGACCAGCAGCACTGCCATGGCTGGCCCAGGTCAGCTGACTCGGGCTCACAGGGCTCAGGCTGTGGGGTTAAAAATTGCAGTGTAGACGTTTGGGCTCCAGCAGGAGCCCAGGCTCTGAAATCCCGTGAATGGGGGTAGGCCTCAGGGAAGGGTATGTCTATACTGCAATTGAAAACCTGCAGCTGGCCCATGCCAGCTGATGTGGGCTCCTGGGCTCAGGCTGGGGGGCTGTTTAATTCTGGTGTAGATGTTCTGGCTTAGGCTGTAGCCTGAGCTCTGGGACATTCCCACCTTGCAAGGCCCTAGAGCCAGGGTACCAGCCCAAGCGTCTTGAACTGCAATTAAACAGCCCATTAGCCCAAGCCTGAGTCAGCTGACCCGGGCTCTGAGACTCCGTGCCAAGGATTTTGTATTGCCGTGTAGATTAGTTGAAAATATATGCACATGGTATAATATAACAACACCCTACAGCTCTGTAGCACTCAGTACATTGTTTCAGAGTAACAGCCGTGTTAGTCTGTATTCGCAAAAAGAAAAGGAGTACTTGTGGCACCTTAGAGACTAACCAATTTATTTGAGCATAAGCTTTCGTGAGCTACGAAGTGAGCTGTAGCTCACGAAAGCTTATGCTCAAATAAATTGGTTAGTCTCTAAGGTGCCACAAGTACTCCTTTTCTTTCAGTACATTGTATTTCAACAAAACAACACTAACTTGCATTTTACTAATCTGCAAACCTGTAATTCTCTCACTCACACAGAGTGTTCTTGTGTGCTCACCCACTTCTCAGCAAAGCCAGCAGGGATGTCTTAGATCACTAATACTTCATAGACTTGTACACAATACACTACAGAACATTTACTAATACTGTGAAGCTTTATCATAAGTAATTAAAAATAAACTATATCTGTCACTTAAATGAACAAAGTGGATGCTGAGATGAATTATTCTTGCTTTTTTATTGTTCACTCACTGGCTAATTTGCAAAATTCAGTCATTTACAATGGGCCTTCCATAGTTATTAGTGAAATGCTACTGTATTGCACATAATCTGTAAGGATCAGACTTTCAAACCCTAATAAGATGTCTTAAATCCCACAAATGGATACTTGGCCTGACACCTATCCATATAAATGTCTGTCTCACATACCTAAATGATGTTTTCATCATCCCAAGTTCAGGATTTGGACATCCTATGAAAGAACTCATATTTCAAAATGGGCTTCACACAAGTTTTTTAGTGGTGATTACAGATTTAGGGCCCAATACTTCAAGATTTTGCATGCCCTCAACTGCTACTGAAGCACTTTGTAGAAATGGGCCCTTTATGAAGCTAAATTAATCTTTGGTGTAACTCCATTGATTTCAATGGAGTTACACCCGGGATAAAGTTGACGAACTCCATCTAATCTAAGGATATCTGTAATGCCCATCACTGTAGTCTCTAATATTTTGATTAAAGCTTGGCTAAATTGATAGATAGATAGATAAACTACCTACCTCTGGTGGCACAAAGACAGCATAGCAGCTCCTTACTAGTTATTAGTATGGGACATGGCCTGGTCTGGAAAAGATCCAACTCTGAATTTTACTCTTTGCAAAAGTATTATTACAACAATGAAATTTATCTCTTTCTCTAATTGTATTATTATTTTACATCTAAAACAAAAGTACAAGGGGCTTCAGTTTGAAGGTTATATTCTGTATATACTATTAGTGATTTTCTGTGCCATGCTGCCATGATTTATATTCATAGTTGCCATTAATGTATCGTATACTTGAAGACATAGTTCCCAGTAAACTGTAGGTCTCCTTCCTTATTTAACCGGTTTAGTTTTCGGAAAGGATCGTAACACAAATAAATTATTTTTAGTGTACACAGATGCTGAGTTTAGACAAGGATTAAACAGATTATGGAAAAAAAAATTAGCGTGGGTTTTTGTTTCATGCTATTACAATATAAAAATCCTTTTCCTTTTCATAGAGCTTTTTAGCTAAGGATACAAAAGCATTTTACAAACAAATGAATCCTCCAAAGTTAGTCAGTTATTATTCTAGTGTATAGATAAGTTAATAGAGGCAATGAGAAAGTAAGTGACTTGTTCAAAGTTCTGCAGTGAACTAGAAACAGAACTTGGAATAAAACCTTAAAGTCTTCATCCTTAGTACCCTACTCACATCCTCTTCTATATATTTCAGTTTAGGCAAATGTAGGACAATGCTTACAACATTTTAATTAAACAACGGTGTTCTGCTTGCAGAGGCTCAGCCAGAGCAAGGACTATGGCATATTTTGGGGAAGGGAAAGGACCAATCCATGTGGATAATGTGAAATGTACAGGAAGTGAGAGATCCCTGACAGACTGCATAAAACAGGATATTGGAACACACAACTGCCGTCACAGTGAAGATGCTGGCGTGATTTGCGACTACCTTGGCAAGAAAGCATCCGGGAACAGTAATAAAGGTGAAGTACCTTTGGGAGGTTTATGGCAATAGATTCAAAACTAGGTATATTATGATGATTGCTAGAAAAAGAAAAGAAAGTGAAAAATCTGATCTCACAGGAGAAAAACATACATATTTATATTAAAAAAAAAAAAAAGGCAAGAAATGCACTGTACCTTAAAATCTATGGGTCAGGTGCTTCCTCTTTATGTCATTCTGGCAGTGGAAAGGAACCACAAAGCCAATTTAAATGGCACAGAGGAATCCTCTAGCTTAACCACATGGGGCCCATTGCAGTTAGGTGCAGCCAGGGCTTTAAGTTATGCTGGATGTTAAACCAGGTCCAGGGAAGCATAAAGTTGAGAGAAAACCACCTTTGTTCCCTCCCACCACCTGTGCCAAGCATAGATTGGCTGCAGCTGAGGACTAAGCTCTACACAAATTCTTCTCTCACATCAGTGTAAATTAGGAATTACTTCCTTGTATACAGTTTCAGAGTAGCAGCCAAGTTAGTCTGTATTCGCAAAAAGAAAAGGAGTATTTGTGGCACCTTAGAAACTTACAAATTTATTTGAGCATAAGGTTTCGTGAGCTACAGCTAAGGATGAAGTGAGCTGTAGCTCACAAAAGCTTATGCTCAAATACATTTTTTAGTCTCTAAGGTGCCACAGGTACTCCTTTTCTTCTTGTATACAGTGTGACTGTAGCCATGTCAGTCCCAGGGTACTAGAGAGACAAGGTGGGTGAGGTAATACTGTGTATTGGACATATTTCTGTTGGTGGGTGTGACAAGCTTTTGAGCTTACAGTTTTTGAGCTTGCAAGATGCTGAGTGCCATCACCATCCAGTGAGACCTGGAGAGCTCTGTATAAACAAAAACTTCTCTGACCAAGAGAAGTTGGTCTAATAAAAGAGATTACCTCACCCACCCTGTCTCTCAAATTACTTTGTAGAAGTCAAAGGAGTGACTCCAGATTTACACTGATGTAACTGAGAGCAGAATATTGGTCTTCCATTTAAATCACTTCAGACATGAAAAATAAGGAAAGATTTCCAGCTCTTTGTGTGTATTATTCATATTATAACCTTCATATTTATTAAAAGATTCTTTTTTAGTGGATCACATGCAGAAGGGTAACTCGTTCTTACACTGTGAACTGAAAAAAACTGCAGTTAATGGTTTGAACACCTGTTTAGCTTTCTATTAGGCATGGGGGATAGTGCTCATTGCCTAGTGATCACAATTCAGAAAATATTCTCAGCCAGACAGAACCTGTAAAAGGTGTGGGTCAAAAATCTTTGTGTGGGAGTCCTGTGTATGGAGAGAGAACAGTGTGGGAGTCAAAATCCACCGTGAAGATACCAGAATGAAATTTTGCTGTAGGAATATGTGATTATTGTTTAATTGGATTTCACTGACAAACTTTGAGAATAATATAAGGTGTGATCCTGCAAGGCAGGTCCTGAGCACACAACGCCCCCTGAGTTCATTGGATGGTGATGGTACTCAGCACAGAATCATGTCCTTACCGACTAAACAAACAAAATAAAATACACTTTTTTTTTTAATCTACCAAACCCTATATATTGTTGCTGTGTGGGAGTTTAAGGCCTAAACCTTATTTTCTGTTTAGATTCCCTTGCTTCTGTTTGTGGATTGAGGTTACTGCATCGTCGACAGAAGCGGATAATTGGTGGGAAAAATTCTTTAAGGTAAATGATATTCAGTACAGTGAAAGTCATTTTCAGTGTAAAATTGTGGGATGTGCAGTTGCCATAAGCCCTCAGCCTTGTTTAGCTACTGATTAAATTTTTTGCTTCTCATGAAATAAATGCAGATTAATAATGTGAATTTTGCCATATTGGGCTTAGTTTGGCACAAAGAACATAATTTTGTTCAACAAGTATAGTTTTTTCCAGGCCAGTTAGAACTGGATGAATTATTCACCCATTAATTCAGAGTGAGTGAAGCTTTGTGCAGCCCCATCTAAAGGTTGCTGTTCCAGCCTACATCTCTTCCTCTGTCTCCTCATCTTCAGTCTCTTTGGGACATCATGGTGCATCATGACCTTTCTCTGACTACTTCTACACTACATGCCACTGGCAATACGTGTAGCTATACATCCACATTGTGGTATATAGCAGATGAACCTTTCCCTGCTGCCTCCCCTCTGTCAGAGCCTTTCCCAGCGAGCAGAATCTTTCCTGCAATGGATGAAGAGCTCCAGCAGTGGGGAGCTGCTGGAGTGTTTCTCTGTGGCAGGGAAGAACTCCAGTAGAGGGAACTGCCAGAGCCTCTCTTTCCTGCCAGAGCCTTTCCCGGTAGCCACAGTCTTTTCTTGCCGTGGCAAAAGGTTCGAGCAGCGGGGAAGCACAGCTTGGGACAGCAGAGAGCTATGGAGGGTATGTACTCGGGTACATACCCACATCCAATTATGCAGACATTCCCATGAAGCCACTCTGCCTATAGTCCTTCCTGTATAGCCCACATGTGGGGCATAGGGGATGGTTTTTTATTTCTAGTGTGTTTGTGAGATATTTGATGTGAATATGCAATATTCAAAATTTGAGTAATTGGTTGGACACATAAATCACATTTCATGTTTCAATTTCTTGATCGACTGTGCGGAACTCTTACAGACAGATTTCCAGTGGGAAATCTTAGGATTATGAATTTAAAATTTGCTTTATGTGAATACTTTGTAATATGCACGTCAATTTTGTTTTCTGAGTTAACATTCCTGCTGGTGAATTTGTTCACTAGAATATTCCCAGAAAGCACACACAAAGAGAGCAGGAACACATTCAAAGCAAATCTGAAGACCAGATCAAAAAATAATCATTGATAAATTTTTGCAGTATTTACCAAACTCAGTGTCAGATATTGCATTTCAGTTTTGGGTACATTGGAATTTTATTCTTTAATCAGTTTAAATTACTTTCCTTAGACAAACAGCCATTTCAGTTTCTCCTGAGAAGCAAATCCTGAATAGCTGTGAACCATATAGATGGATCTGTGGGTCTGCTATGCATTTAACAGAACTGTAAAAGGCTAAATAGCATGAAAGGAGGTTGGGTATTATTAACGCTTTAAAAACATCATTTTTCTCAAGTAAATGTACTTCTTTGATGATGATACAGCTGTAAAATAAGACTTTGCATTAACTGGTAGTTGGTTCTTGGCCATATTGGTATATAACATGCTCCCATATGTTCACCCACCCACACTTGTATAACTGCAAATACAGATAGACTTGTTTTCTTAATATTTGTGAATTATGACAACCACAAAGACTATTCATAATATCTTACGGATACAGGAATAAGGAACAAAGTATATGGAATGTGATGGTGAATGATATAAAGAATATTATAAAGCCTTCATAAAAAAAATGGTGTGTCCTGTTTAGAATACTGTGCACAGTATTGGTCACCCCAACTCCAAAAGGCTATTGCAGATTAGGAGAGGGTTTCAGAAAAGAGCAACAAAAATGATCCAGGGAAAAACTGACATATGCAGAAAGATTGAAAAGCCTGGGATTGTTTACCTTACAAAGGAGACAAATAAGAGGGGATAAGCATATAAAAAATAAAGAATAGTATAGAGAAAGTAGATCAGGAGATTCTGTTCTGCCAGGTTTCAGAGTAACAGCCGTGTTAATCTGTATTCGCAAAAAGAAAAGGAGTACTTGTGGCACCTTAGAGATTAACCAATTTATTTGAGCATGAGCTTTCGTGAGCTACAGCTCACTTCATCGGATGCATACTGTGGAAACTGCAGAAGATCTTTTTATACACAGAGACCATGAAACAATACCTCCTCCCACCCCACTCTCCTGCTGGTAATAGCTTATCTAAAGTGATCATCAAGCAGGAGAGTGAGTTTGTGGGGAGGGGGGGTGAGAAAACCTGGATTTGTGCTGGAAATGGCCCACCTTGATTATCATGCACATTGTGAGGAGAGTGGTCACTTTGGATGAGCTATTACCAGCAGGAGAGTGAGTTTGTGTGTGTGGTTTTTGGAGGGGGGTGGGGGGGTGAGAAAACCTGGATTTGTGCTGGAAATGGCCCACCTTGATTATATACACATTTTAAAGAGAGTGGTCACTTTGGATGGGCTATTACCAGCAGGAGAGTGAGTTGGGGGGGGGGGGTGGAGGGTGAGAAAACCTGGATTTATGCTGGAAATGGCCCAACTTGATGATCACTTTAGATAAGCTATTACCAGCAGGAGAGTGGGGTGGGAGGAGGTATTGTTTCATGGTCTCTGTGTATATAATGTCTTCTGCAGTTTCCACAGTATGCATCCGATGAAGTGAGCTGTAGCTCACAAAAGCTCATGCTCAAATAAATTGGTTAGTCTCTAAGGTGCCACAAGTACTCCTTTTCTTTTTCTTCTGCCAGTATCATACCACAAGAACAAGGGGCTAGATTATGAAAATAAAAGGTGGGAAATTCAAACCAATAAAAGGGAAAATACTTTTTCACACAATGCATTATTAGACTGCGGTACTTAGTGCCACAGGACAATCATTGAGGCAAAGTATTTAACAGATTCAAAAAGGGATTGGGTATTATATGGATCTCAAGAATATCCAGAATTATCATAACTAAGGCTGTGAGTCTTTCATGGAGGTCACAGATTCCGTGACTTTCCAGGACCTTGGTGACAGCTGCAGCAGCTGTTGAGGCTGACTCGGCGGGGCCCCAGGCAACTGGTCCCGGACACTGTCCCGGAGCAGTGGCAGTGGTGGTGGGACCCTGGGCCGCCCCACAGCCCGGAGGAGCAGTGGTGGGGCCACGGGCCATCCCCTGGCCCAGAGGAGCAGCAGTGATGGTGGGGCGGCCCAGAGGCAGGTGGTGGGGCCCAGGCTGCCCCCAGGAGCGGTGGCGGTGGGGCCTGGGCCACCCCCCAGCCTGGAGCGGTGGCAGCAGGGCCCCAGGCCGCCCCCACCTCCAGAGCAGTAGCAGCGACAGGGCCTTGGAACACCCCCACATTCCCCAGGAGCAACAGCATCTCCCCTCAGCAGGTAAGATTTAGTTAGGGGTATTTTTAATAAAAGTCATGGACAGGTCACTGGCCTTGACGTTTTGGTTATTGCCTGTCCGTGATTTTTACTAAAAATACCCATGACTAAATCATAGCCTTAATCATAACTAATAACAAAAATTTTGAAAGGGATATCAAACCTCATGCTTCAGGTTTTAAGTCAATTTTTAACTATTAGAGACCAGGGCAGATTACCCTACTTTCCTCTGAAGCATCTGGTACTTGCTAGTGTCAGACACAGGACGCTGGACTAGATGGAACACTGCTCTGATCCTGTTTGTCAATTCCTGTGTTCCTGTATTCCTATTCAAATGGATAGTTTTCAAAATTAAACTAGCTGCTACTTATATTCTGGCTGCTGTTCTCTCTCTTCCCTTTTTGCTAGTTCCATCTATCTATGGGAAGATGTAAGAACTGAATCTTTTGATCCTACTGTCAATTCCATCTTTATAGGGTTGGGAATATGTATCTTTGATCTGCTAAATTGTTTGGATTTATCTTGAATAGATGACCACATGTGAAGAGATGAGATGGAGCTAATCCGTGTATTTCTTGTTGTTTCTGCTTTTCTCTTAATCCCGTTGATTTTGAAGATTTGCTTTACATCCAGTCAAGGGCAGATGGAGAAGTTAGCATTAATGGGAACAGAAAAGCAGATTGGGAGTTTTTCATGGAACTCTCCCCATCCTCCACTCCCAGATTTTTGGCCTGGTAGCCTTCTCCTCACAGTTGCATATTTTTATATGGTAACTATTAGAACTGCTAATCTCTTCTCTCACTTGGATAATATTTGGTGGAGGACACAGATCGTATGTTTTTGGCACGAAGGATGTATTCTGAGAAGGGATGATTAAACTGATTCATAGTGGGATGAAGTGCTGAGAGAGTTCGATGTCCCAGTAGTCTGTAAACTAACCTTGAGGGTTGTTGAATGGAATTCTGAATGCTATACTAACATGATTAAATGGTCTCCCAATTGTTACTCAGTAAATAATGTGTCTTAAGTTATTTAAACCAATGTAGCAATAGTGGCTCTACACTCAAGACAGCTTGCCAGTTACCTTTACTCTTCCATTTTGCTTAGTACACTAAAAGACATGACTGATTTATTCTCTCTTTAGGGGCGGTTGGCCCTGGCAGGTTGCCCTCCGACTGAAATCATCTCATGGTGATGGAAGACTCTTATGTGGTGCCACACTCATCAGCAGCTGTTGGGTGATCACTGCAGCACACTGTTTTAAGAGGTAGTACTACATGATTAACAATGGGATACATTTCCAGTACCACTGCATTGCTACCATTTTGAGGCCAGTGGGAATGATACAGAGGCAAAACCCCACTCTTGCCCACCAGTATATTGAAAATTGTTCCCAAAGAGACTGACTTCTGTTAAAAAAAAGTTCTGTATTTAACTCGTATGTTAAAACTATTCTTACTCCCACATTCTAGCACAACACAAATTGCATTCATCACTCAACGGATTTATGTTCAGAATTTCACCATTTCCAGAGAAAACCTTTATAGAGAAAACTTCAGACTTCCCTAGCATAATCACCTAAGGGGCCTGGCCCCTCAAAACACCACAGTGTACAGGTATCTGTTAACTTGGCAAGTTGAGGTGAGAACAAACAAGCACTTGGACCCTGTGTTGTATTTTGATGTTCTGTTTGGTAAGGCACAGTCAGCTATGAAATTTAAGTGACAGTTTTCCTGTAATGTTTTACAGACTACCTGAGCTGACCTCTAAGACCCTCTCTTTGATCAAAACATTCTTCTTATTTTGTGGAATCTAAGGGAAAAGTAAATTTGCATCTTGCCCTTGTCTGGATCTAATTAGTTTTTCTTATTCCTTCAGCCAGGCTGACAACAACTGCCTTACTCTCTGGTTTCTTAGTGTACAAAAATTAAGTATTTTGTAGCCATCTTAAGGATTCCGCCAGCACACTCAGGGAAGCTTTAAAACACCTTCAGCCAAATACAGGGGTGAGTCTACGAGGCTCTAAGCTGCTGTAACTTACACCTTCTTCCAGCTATTCAGCCTACTGTACAGTAAGTTACACCACCTTCAGCTCCCTTCCACCCACTTACCACTTGATATGTAACTAAAGCTCCCTTACAAATCATCTCTGAATTGGTCTGTTCTATTTCACCACCTACATTAAACTGTCATCTAACTTTTCTATATTTATTCTCCCATTTTTGCTTTTTGTATACACTTTTTCTTTTTTACGATCTTCCTGCTCAGTTTCTTTTGTGACAGCCCAATCCAATTATTTGTAACATCACAGTTCACTGCCACTGAAGTTACTGCAATGTCACAAATACTGATTTAAATAGCAAGGAGGTGGATATAATAAACAGCTGTGGAGAAAGCTTCATTTTGAGACCAACATCTTGCAGCAATGACTGGGAAAGAAATGTAGAATAACTTCATAATAATTATAAGGAAGTTGGCTAAAATTTGCCTAAGTGTGCTGGGAGCAATTTAATTTCAACCTTTGGCCCCTTCTTTTTCCTCACTTCCCACTACAAAAGAGGCAGGAGATTGCTTTCATTACAATGAATGGAAATTGGTACCTTTTTTTAGAGGCAGCTGCTCAACATCTTTTCATTTTCATGTTTCCAGCAGTCATGTGGGACTCTTCTTGGTAACTGTTCAAGCCTTAATGGCCAGACTTCGTTCATTAAATCGCAGACTCTTTCCACTGAGATTCAAGCTGTTTTTGTTGTAGAAAATGAAAGTGCAAAGTCTTGGGTTTCTGTCATTAAAATGACTATAAACTGACCTCTTCATGCCTGTTCATGAGTCCCATGGTAATAACTAAGGATGAAGTTAGCAGAGCATTTTAGAAAGACTTTTGATAGAGCATTTTATTCAAGGCTTGAAAACAAAGCTCTTTCTCTCTCCTTCTCTCCTGTTATTGAAATCTTGTCTAATAGTAATTTGTGTATTTCACATTTTGGACACATGGGGGCAGATTCTTTACCCCATCAGCACTCCACTAAGGCATAGCAGAGAAAGGGGAAGACAGGAGCAAGCCAATTGTGGCTCCCTGATCCTCAGCCACCGGCCAGAAAGCAGCTCTAGCTTACATCTGTGGAGACCTAGGTGATGCTCTGCCCCCTCCTTTAACTTTCCAGTTTGCACATGTCTTGTCCCTGGAATGCCCAAGGCACACTACCCCATTCCCATTTTGCTGGGGTTGTGGCGGGGACAGAGTGGCAGAGCTGCCACCATGATTTTTCTGACAGCAGAGAGTTCCTGTACCCAGGGCAAATTCTCCAATGACTATCTCTGGCTAAAGATAAAAAAAATTCTAGCCTCATGGTGTCCCCCACAGTCTCTTTACCATTCCTTGCATCACAAGAACAGGCATCCACGAGGTGCATTTTTCAGCTTTTCTAATCTGTTGTAAATAGAAAAATTGATATTTTCCCTATAATATCCTTCTGTCCCCATGTAGCAACTGAATTGGAGCATCTCATCTTGGGTTGAATCTGAGCAAACGCCTCCATCGTGAACTGCTCATTAATATGCAGCTGAGCAAGGAAGCACATAAACCTACACACAGATCTTCAGTGAGGACTGAAACAACTCTATGGCCCAAATTAATCTCTGGTATAATTCCATTGATTTGAATGGTTGCACTAGGGATTGATTTGGCCTTCTGTGTCCGAAATTTCCATTTATACAGTGCTTACTCTCGCTAAAGCCTATCTGGGAAAGCAAGAATGCAGAGCCTTACAGTGAGAATGATAGATGAAGGCACATGTAGCAGTTAGCAGTAGATTTAGTGTGGAGAATGTATTAGCCTCATATTGAGTAGCCAGGTAAGGAAGAATTTTTAAACTAGTAGTGCTGTTTTAGGACTATCTTTTTGAAGTCTCAAGGACCAGACTGGGGCCAGATGCTTCTTGTGCATGTAAGAGGTGGAATATCCAACTGGTGGGCACAGTTACAGCCTCTGGCTTCTTTGTATCTCAGGTGCTCCCTCATGCACCCCTGTGGCACAAACCACTACAGCAGAAGCAGGGGAGGAGACAGGACCATATACCATCCCCAATGCTCCCCAGTACACATGTTCACAAGTTGGAGGATCTGACCAGCCCTCAAAGGGAATACATCAAATCCCTTTTAAGAATTACAGCAATGGGTTCACTCCCCATGTGCCAGGATGTTCCAACACACAGCAGTGCTTAACTAGCCTAAAGGAATCCAATGCTGTTCGTGAAAATAAATTAACAAAGTTGTAGGCTTGCTTTACTCCACACTTTTCTCCAGTAGTGTTTCCACTTCCATCTTTAATTTTTCTCTAATTCCAAACAGATGCAACTTGATTTTGATTCAGAATTACATCACTGTTTGATATTATTTTTCTTGATATCCTGCCCATTCTATTACAAAGTTTTGCCACAAGCTGTCATAGCAGCTGAGAACTCAGGACAATTTGCAGTTCCGGAAGTAACACATTGCTAGATCCAGGTAATTAAAAAGATGAGTCATTCAGTAAAAATGAAATGATAATGACCACGATGTCACTTTAGGAGTACATTAGGTTACTTGAACACTGTACTTCCTTCATACTAGACCTAAGCCCTTCTCTAGCACATTCTAGCTGAGGATCTCCAAGTGCTTTTTAAACATTAATGAAGTAAATTTCCCCATATCCCTGGGAAGTTAATATTAATCTCATTTTACAAATGGGGATACTGAGGCACTGAGCAGCTCAATGCCCGGTGTCACACTGAAAGTTAATGACAAAGTTGAGAATAGAACCCAGGTCTTCCAGTCCCAGTCCCTTCCACTAGACAACTCCGCCTCTTTTTTGTATTGGCCCATGTGCAATGTTTAAATTTGACAAAATGTGTAATTACGTTCAGAGTTATTGGAAAGAACAAAAGATCATTGTCTACAGATCAAAGTCAATTCTGAGCAGTCTATACAGGACTTGTGTGAATGCCTGTACACTGGAGTAGGGTAAATCAGTATTCAGACAGCTCATTCAGCCCCAGTCTAGAAGCACTGTAGCTAATTCACACTTCTGTGCATTTGTATGAGAAGATGCCTTTCTCACCGTGTTACATTTTATTGGAAATTACAGTTTGTTATTCAATCAGCCTTCTTGAATCTCCTGTTTTTCACCATATTGCTAAAAATTAACAACATCCATAACACAAGCAGCAAGCAGTGCTCAAACTAAGGAGAATGCAGTTCCTCTTGTTATGTGAGGAAGATGAGCTTCAATAGGCAGGGGAAAGAGGACAAAGAGATAAGCAAGTTTCTCTAGCTAAATGTGTACCAGCTGAGCCCCAACTGGCAGTATAGAGTCCAATATCAGAGATCATAAACCACTTTCCTTCTTGCTGTAGTGCTGGTTTAGCAATTAGAAGAAACATTTTTTAAAATAATGAGGTTCTTATTGTTAAACCTATACTGAAGGAAGAAAGAAAGCAGTTTGATGTCTGACTTGACAAAGCCCTGGCTGGGATGATTTAATTAGGGTTTGGTTCTGCTTTGAACAGGGGGTTGGACTAGATGACCTCCTCAGGTCCCTTCCAACCCTGATATTTTATGATTCTATGACATTAAGTCATATCGCTGGTGTCAGATATTTAACACTATTCTGACCTCCAGCAGATTTCAAAATAGTGAATGCAGTGACAAACATTAGGGCACATACTCAAATTTGTGCACTATAATGTTGTGGGAAAATCCATATCTACAAAATGCAACTGTAACCTTTTAATTTAAAAAAATATTCTGATTCTACAACATAAGAGGTGCCTCTCTCCATTTGAATTTAGAAGGTTAAATTTCCATTAGGTCACTGAAAATACACCTGAAGAGTATATGGTTGCATTCATTTGTATGCACAAAACCCTTATTTGAATGTACAGAATGGGTGCATGGGTGGACAAACACCTGTTTCTGTGTAATAAATGATTATTTTCCCAAACAATTACCAGTATTACATGGGCAACTATTCAAGGGTTTCATTCAAGCAGACAAAAGTATAGCTATAATTTGTATGCCTCTGACTGATACACCAGGCAAATTGCAGATATTTACTTTTAATGCTCTTGACTCTGCATCTTTCTATCCTAATACAGTAGGGACATTCAGACATATATTAATAAAATCACTAATACAATGTTTTCTAACTTTTATCAAGGATTATCTGTAGCAGTATGTTTCCGTGTATAGGCTTCCATTGGGAATAGAGAGCTATTAATGGCAATGAGATCAGCATTTAAAAATACAGGCCCTGAGGCAAAAATCATTGGACTATCTAGCGTTGTGTAAGTGGCAAAGGAAAGAGCATCTTTTGCTAAACTGAATAGGCTCACATATTGCGTTATTTGGTTTCCCGAGTGAGATTCAACCAAATGTTTATATATAGTCACAGAATTATGAAATTTGAGCAGAGAAAACAAGTGAGATGTCAATAAAAAACAATGTATATTCCATTTTTGTAGGTTGTGGTTGCATTTAAGTGAACATATAATCTCTTATATTAGATCACACTTAAAGAGCCACTTACTGTTACAAAGGAGAAATTCTGTATCAGTTTCCTTTGTAGATTCTTAGTTTCTTCAGTGAAAATTAAAAAAGTTGGCTAGTATGTTGGTAACATCAGCCAAACTCTTATCCTGTGAGTATGTAAACTCACTCACTGGGAGATGTGACACTGGAGGAAAAGTATTTGGCTGCCAACTTAATCCATTCCAGTGTCAGGATACCCTTTACATTCCAAGCATTACATTTGTTCTGTAAATAATCTCTGTAAGAGTGAAGGGAGACTGTGCTCAAACTGTGCAGCCTTAACCATTCAGCTACCTTGATCTTGTCCAGCTTGGTGAGCTACACAGGGATAACTGTGGAGTTATTTCTTTGGCAGGGTGTAAAAATGTTTCTGAAGAGGTATGTTTATTCTTCTGTTATGATAATTTCACAGATGAGAAGTAAGAAAGATGAAATGGAGTTTGACTTTGATAGTGTTCCAGATGCAATGTACATCACTGTGGAGTGTGTTCCATCAACTTCAAGTGGGAATAAAATCAAAGCCTTATAAACAGAGTGTGAAAAGCCTCCCAAGCAGTCTCATTACTAGGGGTGTCATATACTAGCACTCAGCCTCAGGCATTTTCATCAAAAATGAACATGGCTCTGATTGACTTAAAGAGCCCTTGATTTGGTAATGTCACAACTCATAGCCTTTTACTGAGTTTACCCTGCAACTGATACAGAAATCCTTAAGTCACTTTCCAGAACATACCAACATTACTTCTGCAGCTTACTATCCTATGCTCCTTATAGTGATCAGGCAGCAAAGACTGCTCATGTGCTTAATGAATTACTTCTGCACCTTCATGCAGAGATGGGCATACCATGATTAAACAAGGAAACCGATTCATTACGTTGCTAAAATTTTCCATATTTTCAGGCTTACTAGTATTTTTCACTAATAAAGCACATGTCTATACATGAATATGTAGGAGCACTTTGAGCTCTATAGTTTTCAAGAAATATTGCTGAAAAATGTGCATACAACCCATGCTTAGTCCATCTTTGGAGCTCATTTAACATACTTGTATGTAAACTACAGTTTCTAACAAGTTCCCAGGCAGCATTAGCAAACAAAACCCATAACGACTCTCAGGTTCTAGAGCCACAGCCAAGATGTACCAAAAGATGTACCAGAAAGATGTTTAAGTTTCTCATATAAGTCAAGAATTGTGAAATATCAGAAAACAGACAGAATATGAAGCTATGTAAGGCAGGGACTCTGCTATTTAACACAATTAACCTATTGTAGCAGTATATATGTAAAAATTCAAACTATACTGTGATCTCAAAGTGCTTTATGAAAGAGAGTATAACAGATGGGGAAAATAAGGCACAGAAATAGACTTGCCCAGGCTCACACAGGAGGGCCAACAGTGAGAACTCAGGTCTCCTGATTCTCAACCTAGTACCTTATTGCATTGGTAATGGTTGTAGTAAAAAGGAAACATAGGAAAAGACATCTGAGACCAGTGTAGAACTACACATCAGTGATACAATAAAATTAGAATATAGAGGTTTTTAAAAGACCAAATTAGGCCTACTGCTTTAAAACACAACAATTATCACTCTATCTGCTTTTACTTAGTGTGTAATGCATTGAAGTAAAGACCATAATAACCCAGACATCCAAGAACACTGGCTAAATCAGCACACCTGAGACTGACCATTAACTTACATGCTGGATGTAGTGACTCAATGCAGTCAATAGATTTGCCCTGTTTAAAATAAGGTATGTGCTGATCCAGAAATGGAAGAGTGGGATTCTTCGTGGGATTCTCAGAGCAGGAAATGGTTAGCATTACTGACAGGCTGCAGATGTCAGGGATTTTGACAGCTCTGCTTTGATGCAGAATTTTGGACTTTACTGCTGATGTCATAGTTCAGATGATGTATCATGCTCCAGAAACCAGTTGTGGTCTAATGGACTTTGTTATTGTGGAAAATCTCCTTCAAAGCAATACCAGAGTAAATACCATATCTTAGGGCCCAATCCTGTTCCCACTGAAGTCAGTGGGAATTTTGTCATTTATTTGATCAGGCACAGAACAGAACCTTAACGTCAAATAGACACTTTTATTACTGGAGAAACCATGAGGTGTTTAACAGTGAAGATTTAGAAACTTATTAAAATTTTCATTCGCTGGTGAGAGGTGCCTTAGAAATAAGATCAGCAAACACTCAAATATGCTGGCGGGGACCAAAAGCTTCTGAGTATACTGAAATAAGACATCAATAAAGGGAGCACTATTTTTTCATCCCTTTATTTGAAGGGACACATTCCTGTTGTTCCTGATGATCTTTGGCATTAGCATTAATGCTCAGAATTCTCCAAGGACACTCCCTAATGAAAATGGATCTACTGCTAAGATATCAACAGATTGATGTTTTGTTGTCTAAACAGTAAATTGGGTATTGCTAAAAAGATACCTGCAAATGTGGAGTTTTGTTTTGTTAAAGACCTTTCAAATAAACCTAATAAATCCAAGCTGAAAAAAAAAAGAGGAAATTTCTTCATTAGTTTATTTTTCAGGGATGAGATTATTAAAACTTCATCAATAGTATGTTCTGATCATACAGACTCACAGGTTAGTTTTTCTGAGAGTATTTTAAGAAAGATCCACGTAAATACAAGATCAGTTTTTACAACTCTGTAATCTTCAGCTATTATGGGCCAGCTGCAATTTTTTGGATTGTAATTTCCAGCCACAAAGGAAGTACAGTGTAGTGGATAAGAGTATTACGATGAAAGAACAATATTAGTATTGTTAAGGAGGCTTTCTGTTAAAGACTTTCTCCAGTACCATAAAGCAACCTTCACATAAAATGTAGAAAATACATCAAATGATGATGTTGCAATTTTAAATAATTCTTCCTGCTTAGAGCAAAACGTAATAAATATATTGGGCCATATCCTGCTGGACTTTCTAAGTTTTTACCCAGGTTAAACTCCCACTGAATTCCACAAGCAATACAAGTTTTTCTTGAGTAAGAACTGAATGAGGCCTGTAGAATTTGACCCTATAACATGTCATTTTATAGGGGAAGGCCAGGAAAGCAGCCTGAATTTAGAATTAGAGCTGGTCAGGAAATTTTTGATTATTTCATCAGAAAATGCTGATCCGTTGCAACTTTTCCTGGGAATGTATCAGTTTTGACTAATTTATCAGGTCCAGGATGGAATTTCTGCTCAAAACCAGAGAAAGAGATCCCAGAATAGCTGACGACCTGGTAATTAGGGCTACACATCTGGGATGTGGAAGTCCTAAATTCAAGTCCCTGCTCTGCCTGACTTGACCCTAGGTTTCTCACATTCTAGCTGAGTCCCTTAACCACCAGCTATCTTGGGTAGATGTTTCTATCAATCAAAACATTTTGAAAAGTCTGATATATCCCACTGAAGAACAGGAAAACATTTGAAATCTCAAAATTTTTTGCAGAACAAGAAAACCTTTTCCTGCCCAGCTCTAATGATAACAGATACTCAGTTCTATGACTATATGCTGCTCAGGACCAGCCTGAGGGACTCAGCCTTTTCCTGCCTACTCTTGAGCAAAGCTAAGTACAACCAGGAAACAGTGAGACCCTGGAGGGCATGAAAATTTCCAAGTGGAATAGAGGGTATGTGGAGAGAGTTTTGAGAAATCTCTGCCTGATATTTTTACACATTTATGTTGAACTATTACATGTCCTAGTTATCTATTTACTATAAAAGGGACTTCTCAGGAAAATAGTCAAAAGGCCGTGTGATTTTAGATTAGGGTTAAAAAAATAATAAAAAAACCCAACACTTCCCCAGCCTAACTAGTTTTCTTTTTCTGGAAATAGCCCTGTGAGCCCTGTAAATCCTAACCCTCAACAGTACTAAACAGATATCAACAATTATGATCAGGTGTGGGATATCCCACACAAGCAGCTGCCTGTGCTTGAACAGCCTTCAGGTATCTGGGGACATGGGTCCTTTCTACCTTCTATAATTTTTCCTCTGCTCTTTCATTAGTATAACTTTAGTTAAGATGCGTAGAGGCCTTCATGCTCAGGTGTCCCCCAAAAAAGTGTTTAGTATTAATCAACATTTTCTTCATTCAAGGCTGAATTTTACAGTTGTTTTCCTTTCATGAGTTTATTTGGGAGTATTGCAGTACTGTTTAGTCTTTACTGGTGGTTTTATATTGGATGTCATAATTATTTTAGGTTTTATTGGTCCCTGCTTGTTCTTTTAAAATAATTATCTACTCTAAAAATGAATTCAGGAAACTTTCATTATCTGTATGGCTCAAAGCAAGGAGAATGCACCCTTTGGAATTTCAAGACACTTCTGAATTTCACATAACCATTGTTGAGATAATTGGGTTTACCACTAATAAAACTATTTTAGCATTGTCATCTATATGATTAGTAAAGAGACACTTTGATCAGTTGGTTGTCTATTTAGATTGCAAATTTGTGTGATGTGAGCCCTGGTCTCATCCTCAGGTATGGCAACAATACTCGGAACTATGCCGTGCGAGTTGGGGATTATCACACGCTGGTTCCTGAGGAGTATGAGGAGGAAATTGGAGTCCAACAGATCGTGCTGCACAAAGAATACAGGCCTGACAGCAACGACTATGACATTGCGCTAGTGAGGTTGCGGGGACCAGAAGAACAGTGTGCCAGATTCAGCACCCATGTCTTACCTGCATGTTTGCCACTGAGGCGAGAGCGGCCACAGAAAACTGCCCCCAGCTGTTACATCACTGGGTGGGGTGACACAGGTGAGAGTGATTTATATATTAATATACCCAAATTTTCCTCTGCCTCACCCACAACAAAGATTGACTATTTCTTAACCAGTTGTTCAATTTGCTATTTCTAATATGCAAGGTGGAATGACTGTACCAGGTTCCCTCATTTTAAAATAGGAGAAAAGCTTTTGTTTGCTTGTTCTCTCCCTCAGCCCCTCCATCATTATAGAGGAATAAAAGCACTAGTTTCTTTTAATTTAGTTTGTGCTTAAAAAAATAAAGAAGAGTGGAGCTGTCACTAACCTTGTCTCTTCACTCTCCCAGACTGTACAATGAATGACATTAAATGGTACTGTTAAATCATCCACTCACTCCTACAGCCTTCTATCAAATGGGAGCCCACATATTCACACCCCTTTAAAAACACAATACCAGCTCTGCCATATTTAGTCTTATTAATGAGGACCAGAAATGCTTTTACTGATTTATTTAAATGACACCAGGATGTCAAATGAAAAATGGCCACAGCACGTATGTAATGGAGAATCAAGCGCACTTTCTTTCTCCTCTATTGCTGCCACTGCCATTTTCCAAATCCCAAATTTCAGCAGCTAGATTTGAGTGAAAAAGATCCTACTGAAGATGCAGGGGAGGCAAAGCACATTTACAATCAAACTTGGATAACCAGCAGGTCCTGTTACTTTACTGAGTGCGGATAGGAGTTTCTTCTCCAGAAGGCTCTGTTCCTTTGTAAATTAATAACCATGTTTTACTTTTATGTTTTTATTGGGTTCATGACAGTGCAAAAAGAAGCCAACTTTTTAATCCTTTAATCTTCTGACTCATTAAAATTGGCAAGAAAATGTGGTTAAATATCAGTTCTCTCTTTTTACATTAATTAATCTGTGTGCATGTATGCACACATATCTATGAGAGCATACTGAAAATACGGAGAACTAAAAACTGGGAAGAAAGGTTTTCAGTACTGTATATGTTTTACAAAAAAACCACACCTCTTAGTGTTTTATGTAATTCACTGTATAAGAGCTCTGAAATAGTACCACTAAGGTTAGAACTTCTATTTAAATGGAAATACTAGCTACTTCAAAACTTACTTTAAATGCAATAAATTACATCATTGCAACATTTACTGAGATTTTAAATGTTCTCTGCAATCAAGTTTGTTGTGCAAGGGTAATTAAGGATTTTTTTAAAAACAAAAAATGCTGCTGTTGTCACTTTTTTCAACTGAGAGAGAATCATGAGGCATGAGATGAGTTTTTATGATGTGTTACAGAAAAAATATTCAAATAACTTAAAATATGGAATCTTACTTGGACCTCTACTTCTAAAGTGAAATAACCATTTGGGCTATTCCAAAAATTCAAACACATATATATTTACATAAAAAAAATCTTTTGAAATTATTGAATTTGAAGATTTGCCGCTACTTACTGCACCAAACATTCAAAAATGTTCAGCCTACACAACAATCTAGTTCCTTCTGAATGAACTTTATTAGAGACCAGTATTTTATTTTGACAAAAGGAGACTGAAAATATGTTGAAACAACACTGAGATTTGAGACAGAACTTTTGTTTAATTAAGTGTGATGTTTATGAAAGGTGCTAGACTGAAGTCTGTTTATGCAGTGGCAGTGCTAACTTCTCTACCTTGTCTCTCAATTGTAACCTTGAGGAATCATTTCTTGGGAGAACAGGGTAGAATGGTCTCATTGACTTTAGTTTCTCAAGGAGACTTATCGCATAGTGATGGTAATTTTTTGTAAGAGCAGATTTATAGTTGGCTAACTGTTTACTAGGAACTAGACTGAAAGCATGAACTCCATTTGATATATTAACACCGAGTAGCTTGCTAGATGATAAAGACTTCTGATCATTACCAAATAAGGTGGCTTTGAACAGTGACCTAGAGATGAAAATCCCTTCTGCCAATAGCCGCATAGCCATTCAAACCATCTAAGAATAGCTTTCCCACTACATTTAAGTATTACATCATATATTTTTGTAGAATCAATTACCTAAAATGTAACAAAAAAATCCTGTCTTGTGAAGTACCTGTGATACAAGTGCTGCTAAACCAAATGTCTTTCTTATAATTTGCAGTCTTTTGAGGGAGTTGAGGTCTGCATCCTTTTCACCTTTTTTAATTAATGCTGTAACACTGTATAGTAATATTTAAGTCACATTAATAAATGCAGTTAAATCATACCTGATTTGGTGATCATAAGTTTCTCAATACCAGTTATTTGGCCTTTCTTTACAGGAAGGGCCTATTCAAGAACATTGCAACAAGCTGCCATCCCCCTACTTCCTAAGAGACTCTGTGAAGAGCGTTATAAGCGAAAGTTCACAGGGAGGATGCTCTGTGCTGGAAACCTCCAAGAACAGAAACATGTGGACAGTTGTCAGGGAGACAGTGGTGGACCACTCATGTGTGAACGTCCAGGGGAAAGCTGGGTTGTGTATGGGGTTACTTCCTGGGGTTATGGCTGTGCAATCAAAGACTCTCCAGGTGTCTATACCAAAGTCTCATCCTTTGTACCCTGGATAAAAAGTGTGACCAAATTGTGATCATCCCGACTCAGAAACAGTAAGCATTAATAAAAGGAAGTTTCTGAGTCAGACGGGGCAGCTTGAATAGCACAGCCAATGCACAGCTGGGGCCCACACTGGGTGGGAAATGGACACATTCTTCTGTTTTGCATGTTTTTATTTTTGTTGAATCAAGGATGCATATTCACACTACTTGTACAGTTACAGATTAATGTGAAATTTCCTTCATGTTGAGCAAAAGTTTATATTTGTATGGAAAAATGCAATATACATAAAGTTGGAGGGGAAAAGGGGCCAACATTTTACTCCAATATTGGATTGGGACAATTTGAGAGTTCAGTAGACTAGTTACTCCCCACGAGAAGACTGCACTGGCATTTATGCTTCAGGTTCCTCCCAGAATTACTTATAATCCTCACTTCCAGAGTAACCTATTTAGGTCGATGGTTGCCCCACTTAGAACTCCTCTAATTTTAAAAAAAGGCATTGTCCTTCTATTCTGTCTCATCTGTGTTTCAGGTATCAGCACAGCACAGGCTTTGCATGCACAGGTCACATTTGTCACTGGATCATTCTTAGTAACTCAGTAGGTCTACACCCTTCACTAGAGCAGTTTGATTGCAAGACCTGCCATTAATTATAACCCAATTCTTCAGAACAAATGTCCACACAGGTTAGTGTCCCCCACTCCCTGAATAATGCACCATGTCCAAGTACAACTGGTCAGTGCAGCAGGGTAGAATAAAATTCCTGCAAATAAAGTGCCCTGTACACCTTCGTGTGCCAGATTAAAAAATAAAAGGGGGTGGGGGACGTAGGGGCATATTTGAATTTCTGAAACACAGAGTATCTTCATTTAAAGAAATGCCAAAAAACAGGGCACATGCTATTTTTGGTGGGAATTACATTGTCCTATCCTGACATCCACTACTAACTATGGATGCACCAAAAGCACTGGCCTAAAGGATAGAGAATAAGCCAAAAATTTTCCTTGAATAAAAATGAAGGTTATTTACCTATAATAGGAGTTCTTTGAGATGGGTCTGCATATTCACACTTATAGGTACTCACTGCCTTGTGGTGCCTTACAGCAAACACCTCTTCCAACAGTGTCAGCTAGAGCAGTAGCACCTTAGAGACTAACCAATTTATTTGAGCATAAGCTTTCGTGAGCTACAGCTCACTTCATCGGATGCATACTGTGGAAACTGCAGAAGACATTATATACACAGAGATCATGAAACAATACCTCCTCCCACCCCACTCTCCTGCTGGTAATAGCTTATCTAAAGTGATCATTCTCCTTACAATGTGTATGATAATCAAGTTGGGCCATTTCCAGCACAAATCCAGGTTTTCTCACACTCCGCCCCCCCCCCCAACTCACTCTCCTGCTGGTAATAGCCCATCCAAAGTGACCACTCTCCCTACAATATGCATGATAATCAAGGTGGGCCATTTCCAGCACAAATCCTGGTTTTCTCACCCCCCCCCCACACCCCCAAAACACAACACACAAACTCACTCTCCAGCTGGCAATAGCTCATCCAAACTGACCACTCTCCTTACAATGTGTATGATAATCAAGGTGGGCCATTTCCAGCATAAATCCAAGTTTAACCAGAACATCAAGGGGGGGGGGAGGGGGAGGAAAAAACAAGGGGAAATAGGCTACCTTGCATAATGACTTAGCCACTCCCAGTCTCTATTTAAGCCTAAATTAATAGTATCCAATTTGCAAATGAATTCCAATTCAGCAGTTTATCGCTGGAGTCTGGATTTGAAGTTTTTTTGTTTTAAGATAGCGACCTTCATGTCTGTAATTGCGTGACCAGAGAGATTGAAGTGTTCTCCGACTGGTTTATGAATGTTATAATTCTTGACATCTGATTTGTGTCCATTTATTCTTTTACGTAGAGACTGTCCAGTTTGACCAATGTACATGGCAGAGGGGCATTGCTGGCACATGATGGCATATATCACATTGGTAGATGTGCAGGTGAACGAGCCTCTGATAGTGTGGCTGATGTTATTAGGCCCTGTGATGGTGTCCCCTGAATAGATATGTGGGCACAGTTGGCAACGGGCTTTGTTGCAAGGATAGGTTCCTGGGTTAGTGGTTCTGTTGTGTGATATGTGGTTGTTGGTGTGTATTTGCTTCAGTTTGGGGGGCTGTCTGTAGGCAAGGACTGGCCTGTCTCCCAAGATTTGTGAGAGTGTTGGGTCATCCTTCAGGATAGATTGTAGATCCTTAATAATGCGTTGGAGGGGTTTTAGTTGGGGGCTGAAGGTGACAGCTAGTGGCGTTCTGTTATTTTTCTTTGTTAGGCCTGTCCTGTAGTAGGTGATTTCTGGGAACTCTTCTGGCTCTATCAATCTGTTTCTTCACTTCCGCAGGTGGGTATTGTAGTTGTAAGAATGCTTGATAGAGATCTTGTAGGTGTTTGTCTCTGTCTGAGGGGTTGGAGCAAATGCGGTTGTATCACAGAGCTTGGCTGTAGATGATGGATCGTGTGGTGTGGTCAGGGTGAAAGCTGGAGGCATGTAGGTAGGAATAGCGGTCAGTAGGTTTCCGGTATACAGTGGTGTTTGTGGAAGGTTGTTTTTTTATGAGAGTATCCAGTTCTGAGAGCTCATTCTTAATCTTTCCCTGTTTGCTGTAGAGGATGTTGATCAGGTGATTCCGCAGTTTCTTTGAGAGCATGTGGCACAAGCTGTCAGCATAGTCTGACACAAACTTCCTCGTGGCTGGAATTTACTAAAACTAGACAAGCCATTTACAACACACACTTTGCTTCTCTACCAAAGAAAAAGGACACTAAACTTTCTAAACTACTACATGCTACAAGGGGCCACAGCAATGGTTCCCTCAACCCACCCAGCAATATTGTTAACCTATCCAACTATACTCTCAGTCCAGCAGAAGAAGCTGTCCTATCTCGGGGCCTCTCCTTCTGCCCCTCCACCCCCACGAACATGATACAGTTCTGTGGTGACCTAGAATCCTATTTTCGACGTCTCCGACTCAAGGAATATTTCCAAAATACCTCTGAACAACATACTAATCCACGGAGGCCTCCCTACCAACATTACAAAAAGAAGGATTCTAGGTGGACTTCTCTTGAAGGTCGAAACAGCAGACTGGACTTCTACATAGAGTGCTTCCGCCGACGTGCAGGGGATGAAATTGTGGAAAAGCAGCATCACTTGCCCCATAACCTCAGCCGTGCAGAACACAATGCCATCCGCAGCCTCAGAAACAACTCTGACATCATAATCAAAAAGGCTGACAAAGGAGGTGCTGTTGTCATCATGAATAGGTCGGAATATGAACAAGAGGCTGCTCGGCAGCTCTCCAACAACACTTTCTACAAGCTAGCTGTAGCTCACGAAAGCTCATGCTCAAATAAATTGGTTAGTCTCTAAGGTGCCACAAGTACTCCTTTTCTTTTTGCAAAAGCAACTACAGCATTTGCTCAAGAAACTTCCCGAAAAAGCATGAGATCAAATCCACACAGACACACCCCTGGAACCCCGACCTGGGATATTCTATCTACTACCTAAGATCCATAAACCTGGAAATCCTGGGCGCCCCATTATCTCAGGCATTGGCACCCTGACAGCAGGATTGTCTGGCTATGTAGACTCCCTCCTCAGGCCCTACGCTACCAGCACTCCCAGCTACCTTCGAGACACCACTGACTTCCTGAGGAAACTTCAATCCATCGGTGATCTTCCTGATAAACCATCCTGGCCACTATGAATGTAGAAGCCCTCTACACCAACATTCCACACAAAGATGGACTACAAGCCATCAAGAACACTATCCCCGATAATGTCACGGCTAACCTGGTGGCTGAACTTTGTGACTTTGTCCTTACCCATAACTATTTTACATTTGGGGACAATGTATACCTTCAGATCAGCGGCACTGCTATGGGTACCCGCATGGCTCCACAGTATGCCAACATTTTTATGGCTGATTTACAACAACGCTTCCTCAGCTCTCGTCCCCTAACGCCCCTACTCTACTTGCACTATATTGATGACATCTTCATCATCTGGACCCATGGAAAAGAAGCCCTTGAGGAATTCCACCATGATTTCAACAATTTCCATCCCACCATCAACCTCAGCCTGGTCCAGTCCACACAAGAGATCCACTTCCTGGACACTACAGTGCTAATAAACAATGGTCACATAAACACCACCCTATACCGGAAACCTACTGACCGCTATTCCTACCTACATGCCTCCAGCTTTCACCCTGACCACACCACACGATCCATCGTCTACAGCCAAGCTCTGCGATAAAACCGCATCTGCTCCAACCCCTCAGACAGAGACAAACACCGACAAGATCTCTATCAAGCATTCTTACAACTACAATACCCACCTGCGGAAGTGAAGAAACAGATTGATAGAGCCAGAAGAGTTCCCAGAAATCACCTACTACAGGACAGGCCTAACAAAGAAAATAACAGAACGCCACTAGCCGTCACCTTCAGCCCCCAACTAAAACCCCTCCAACGCATTATTAAGGATCTACAACCTATCCTGAAGGATGACCCAACACTCTCACAAATCTTGGGAGACAGGCCAGTCCTTGCCTACAGGCCAGGCCTTGCCTCCAACCTGAAGCAAATACTCACCAACAACCACTTACCACACAATAGAACCACTAACCCAGGAACCTATCCTTGCAACAAAGCCCGTTGCCAACTGTGCCCACATATCTATTCAGGGGACACCATCACAGGGCCTAATAACATCAGCCACACTATCAGAGGCTCGTTCACCTGCACATCCACCAATGTGATATATGCCATCATGTGCCAGCAATGCCCCTCTGCCATGTACATTGGTCAAACTGGACAGTCTCTACGTAAAAGAATAAATGGACACAAATCAGATGTCAAGAATTGTAACATTCATAAACCAGTCGGAGAACACTTCAATCTCTCTGGTCACGCAATTACAGACATGAAGGTCGCTATCTTAAAACAAAAAAACTTCAAATCCAGACTCCAGCGATAAACTGCTGAATTGGAATTCATTTGCAAATTGGATACTATTAATTTAGGCTTAAATAGAGACTGGGAGTGGCTAAGTCATTATGCAAGGTAGCCTATTTCCCCTTGTTTTTTCCTACCCCTCCTCCTCCCCTTGATGTTCTGGTTAAACTTGGATTTATGCTGGAAATGGCCCACCTTGATTATCATACACATTGTAAGGAGAGTGGTCAGTTTGGATGAGCTATTGCCAGCTGGAGAGTGAGTTTGTGTGTGTGTGTTTTGGGGTGGGGGGGTGAGAAAACCTGGATTTGTGCTGGAAATGGCCCACCTTGATTATCATGCATATTGTAGGGAGAGTGGTCACTTTGGAGGGGCTATTACCAGCAGGAGAGTGAGTTTTTTGGGGGGGGGGGGGGCGGAGTGTGAGAAAACCTGGATTTGTGCTGGAAATGGCCCAACTTGATTATCATACACATTGTAAGGAGAATGATCACTTTAGATAAGCTATTACCAGCAGGACAGTGGGGTGGGAGGAGGTATTGTTTCATGATCTCTGTGTATATAATGTCTTCTGCAGTTTCCACAGTATGCATCCGATGAAGTGAGCTGTAGCTCACGAAAGCTTATGCTCAAATAAATTGGTTAGTCTCTAAGGTGCCACAAGTACTCCTTTTCTTTTTGTGAATATAGACTAACACGGCTGTTACTCTGAAGCTAGAGCAGTGTTTCCCAACCTGTGAGCCAGAACACACTGATATGCCATCATGCTCAAACAGGTGTGCTGCAGAATTTTTTGAAAAAGTACATGTGAGGACATGGGGGAAAGCCAGCTTCTAGTTGGCTGTCTCCCTCACTGCCCTGCCTCCTCCAGGGACGGAGCAACCAATCAGAGCTCAATCTCCTGCTCCTGTGTGAGCAAGGGGTTCGCTTCTCTGTCCCTCCCCTTCCCTGCTGTAGCCACCAGGTGGGGGGAAGAGCCCGTAGAGCTCGAGGTGTGTCATGGCAAAGAAAATATTAGGAACCACTGAGCCAGAGTGCTCCTGTATCCCCCACCCCTCCCCTCAGCATCACAACACACTGAGAGCGAGGCTATAAGGGGTGGAGTGTCCTCACCACCTCAGTTCCTTCCACTGCAAAGCAAGAGACACGGAATAAAAAGGACTCTGTCAG